CGCTACATTTTTTTTTTCCAAACTTGTTAGATCTATATAGTGTGCAATGACTCCTATGTATGAACTAAAAATTAACATTTATTAAAACTGCTCAAATAATTTGTTTGTAATTAAATTATTATACAAATTTAAATGTTAGCTATACCGGCGTTAGGCACTCCAACAATCTGCTGTTGTACATATTAACGATGGTTCTATTAGACTTTTAATGATTTCTTTTTTTCTCCCATCTTTGGGAGATACTAGCAACCACTGTCTGTCGGCAAATTATATTTTTTTGTAGAGCTAATGTTTTGATCATTTTTATAAATGAAGGATTTTCAACAATTGAAAATGGCTGAATGCTATCTATAATAAAATCAGTTATTAAATCATCTAAAGTGGTTTGGGTTAAAGTCTGAGGTCTCTTGGAAAAAAAATCAATGGATGATGAGCCTAATCCAATATTTTCTTTAATAGATTTTTTCTCCTTCCACTTTTTTATTTGGATTAAGAGTGTTTGATGTTTTCTCTTAAAATATAAAATTGTAAACATTTATTTAGTATCTATACCCTTAAATGTTTTACAATGTTGCAAGTTGAGTTAATGCTAACTGAAATTTGCATATTTTTTGGTAGACATGGCAAACATTTTACTAACAGAGATTTGTTTTCTTTATTTTGAGAATTATTTTAAAATATGGTCTATAATTGGCCATGGAAGAATGTCGTCATTTTCATCATCAATATTAATTTTAAAAATTAATATAATAGAATAGAGTAAAATAAAATACCAATTCCATTGCAATTAAAAATGGCAAATTCCTTGAGATGGATTGTAATATCAGAATTTGCTTGTTATTGATAACTCGGACAATATTTAATTAATATTTATATATTCTTTTTTATATATAGGTTTTAATATTTTACATATATATATAATTTTTTAATATATATATTAATATTAAGTTATATGCTCATATGAAATAAAATATATTTTACATTCAAGTATTTTTATTTATAATATAAAAAAGCGTTAAATAGAAGTATATCAAAATGTATCTTAAAAAGTATCTAAAAACAGATACAGATACCTCTAAAATAATATCTAGATACAGATATAGATACTTTAATCAAAAATCTATCTAGATACAGATACCACTACTTGTATCTAGATACTTTAACAACTCTGATTTTTTTAAATATAATTTTATTTGTTTTTTTTAAAATATATTTTTAATTTAATATTGTTCGTATTTGTATTTAATTTTTATACATTTTTTTATGATGAAAAAAATATTCATTAAATAATAAAGATCAAAATATAATTTTAAAAAAATAAAATAAATTAAAAAAATTTTTTGTCCAGATAGATTCTTATAGAACGTTATATTATAATAAAATGTGGACATATAAGATTTACTAGTTTTAAAATGAAATCAAATGAACTGATGAGCCCCCTGCACTATCTAACCCAATTTTTCCTAAGATTAATAGATCAAGGCTCACTCCTATTTAATGAGATGTGTGAGTTAATATTAACAAATAAGCTGCTCATCGTGTCTTTTTTTCTTAATAATACAAAATAGCTGTCATTTTTAGACTTAACAAAAAAAATAGTAAAAATTTTAAAGGTATCATCTAGTGTTGTTAAAGAACACGAATTTGGTTGATTTTAAAAAATGGCTCGGTGAAGATTTTTTCAAACTCTGCTTATACCCATATTAAAATTTAATATTCTAAAAAAATGATGTATAATTTTCGTTTGCCGAAATGAAGATATCTACTCTAAACAATGCAAGAGACAAACTCTCCATTCATAAAATATTTCAATTATATATATTCTTCTTATGTATTGTTGTAATTTGTTTAAGAAAATAAAAATGTCCTAAATAAAAAAATATTATAGTATGTATACATTTACATATTAGTATATGTTTTGTCATTGATTGCCTTATTTTTTTTTAAAAATATTTGTGTAAAGTATGTCATGTTGTTATATACTTATGTATGTAATAAAAATAAATAAAAATAAAATTTCAATTGGTAAAGAAAAACATTTCAATTGAACACAAAATATTCTCTTCTCTTTTTACAAAATTTATTAAAAATTATATATATATTTTTTTAGTATCAATCTATGTAACGTCATTCTTGTCTGGGTAACAAGGTAATGTTTAAATTATAATTATTTCTTACTCGTATTCATCTCTGTCAGTATATTTTTTCCAAAACGCTTCCTTTTCAGTCATTGCTTTTCTATAAGATGCGCCCATTTTAACTTCAATTTTTGTATAATAACTTATTAAGGATTTTATTTTGGTTTTGGAAGGAGCAAAAGGTAATATACCATTATATAAAATTACACAAAAATACATTACATTCCTTTAAATTATACCTTGAGAATTATCACCACCCTATTCATTTTTGAAAAAAATTTTGGAAACGGCAATTTAAATAATACGCCTATGATCTTATTAACCAAGTTAAACAATATTCGAGATACCCAAAGCCCGGCCGGGCAGATCAAAATTTAAAGGGTCGGGCCGGGTTGTAGATAATAATGAATGGGCTGAGCCGGAAAAACAAGGCCTGCCAAATATCTGATTTTTCGTAAAATTTTAATAAGCCTACCGGCATTAAAATTTTGCTATATTTTGAATTTCAAGATTATTCACTTAATATGATTAATACTATTTAAAAATAAATTAGGGGAGACTAGGGCTAGGACCCCGGGGCTTGGCAAACCACTAAATCTCATTTTAAAATTAAATACATCAGAAGGTTACAATTTGATCCTAATATAGTTTTTATTAGTTTTCATCTATAGACAAAAAATCATAAATAAAATTTTGATGAAATTTTCAAAAGATTTTTACATGACAGAATTTTAATTTTTATTATAATATATAATCATTTACATGTAAATTAAATTTTATAGCAAAGTTTAAACACTCTTCTTTAATTTGGGAAAGTTTTTTGAGTATTTATTAAGTCTAGATATTATTTCAATCATGAATTGTCAATTTAGAGCCAACAGGGCTTGCTAAATCATGCACGTCAATGATGGCAGTTAATAATGGGAAAAATTTTAAAATCTTGAAAAATTTTTTTTATGGCTGTTTATGATTGGTATTTAGGATTTATGCTAAGAAACACAATTTCTCCTTAAGATTCTTATTTTTTTATGTCCAAAAAGTTTATTAAATTAATCGAAATTAAGTTTCAATTTATATATATAATTAGCTTCAATTTATAAGTATTATAATATTTTGAACAATAAAATTATTCTATACGTATCATTATTAATAAATAAAGATGCATTTCAATTTATTATGGCCCTAAAAACACCATTGGTTTAGGAAGCCCCTTAAAGTGGTTTGCCTCACCCCGCTATTGGGGCTTGTTGGACAAAATTTTCCCTTTTACAAAAAATAAAATTTTTAAAAAATGATTAAACTCTTAAAAATCTCTATAAGGCACCTTTATAGAGTATAGTTTTAGGTATCTAATCATATATTATTTTTTATATTATCTAAAAAAAACCCAGGAGCTATAGCCAATTTTGTAAAATCGGTTCGACTTACCTCAGTCTCCCCTACAATATGCTTATTTCTTTATATTTTAAGCGCTCTCTAACTAAAATACTAGTTATATAATATAAATAAAATAGTAAATTCACAAAAAATTAAACAAGTTATTTATGATATGATCTAATTACAAATTATCAAAACACATTTGATCTTTAAAACAGTTGTTATAGAAATATAGATAATCACAGAGTAGAGTAGAGATATAAGAAAGTTAATTGACATTTGGTAAAGTTAGATATAGACATAAACATTGAAAATACGCTGACGAAAATTCTCTAAAACAAGTTAAAAGATCCTAGCCGGGTCTGTTTTTTGTAAAATTTAGCGGGGCTGACTGGGAAATTCGAGCTGAGACGGGGCAGGACGGGCGAAATTTTACAAATAATTTTGTGTAGGGTATTGTCTTGACTATTAAATTATAAATCTTAATACAGACCTATAAATTGGATAGGAAAAATCGTCATATAAACATTTTAATAAACAGACTAATTAGCATAAAAAATTTAATGAACAGGGAATCTAGTAGAATAGTTAAATTTAATTTAGTTATTTATCCAAATAAAATAATTCATCAATCTTATTTCCGCAGGCAAATGACTATTTTTTATTGGATCAAACACTTCGTAGTTCCAATTTTATTTGTTTATATAAAGTAAAAAAAAGGCATACATTTTTTTTTAGCATTTGTTAAAGTTTTTCATCCTGATATGACTTTTAAAGGCAATTTATAAAAAAAATTCTCTGGTAAGATTCAAAATTTTTATGCATAATAAATTTGGTAAGCATTATTTATTTCAACCCTAATTAATAATATGGTATTTAAATCGTATTTCTCTAATGGTCGAAGGAATACCCGTTATTAGCTCCCATGTACCTTGACTATTATCTTTTGAGTCTGCCACCTTTGTGGCGGCCATGAAAACGACTGTGAAAAACAAACGTATTTGTGATATAATTAATTTTTTTCCTTCTAATGTATAGGGTAGACTAGTGTTAATGTGCTTAGCAGCGAACACCTCATAACTTCTAGAATAAATATTTATTTAATATAAATGGTATCTCATTTTATATATCTAAACATTATTGATTTAAATTTTAAAGAAAATATTATATAAATCGAAAATGACAAAGAATGCTTCCTATAGTAATTTTAGCCATACCCCGGGCCAAAAGAGCCATCATTTGAATCAAAATTGAGTCCTTTTAATAAATTATTTTTGTCCAATTTATATAAACATCTATTTTATACGACGAGAAAGGAGATAAAATTAAAAGTTCTATAAAGACCAGATTTTGGTCACTGAAACCCATCCTCATTAGCTATTATGAAATTTATATTCATTTTTGAAACAAATCAAACTATTTATTTATTTTTGATCCAAAAATAAAATTGAAAGCTGTAATCAAATACTTATATAATTTCATATCCTTGAAATGGGGTGTAATTTTTTTCTTGATTTATATATTTCTGAAGAGGTGATAGTTTTTTTTATCTGAACGTTTAATTGTTGAACAATATAAGTTATCCTTGTTATGTTCTTTATATTGTAATTTGATAAAAATAATTCAATTATTTATTTTTCACCTGAGTAAAAATTTCTTGTTGACCAATAAAGTTCTTCTGTGATAAGATCTCTACCAACAGCTGAATCTGGTGATTTTTCTAGTTTCAATAAAGGTACGTACGATAAATAAGAAAATATTATATATAAAATAATACCAATCACTTTCACTTTGATGTAATTATTGGATTTTATAAAAGTATAAATAGTTTGTTGTTTCTTTGAATATTCAATGAGCTTGAAGGTGATGGCATATTTGGTTTTGTACCTTGTAGAAAGATATAATTAAATTAGAGTGAACTTATTTATTTACTTTATTTAAAATACAATAAAATTTAAAAAAAACATTGTGTAAAATAATACCTATCAATCACTTTATAGTAATTATTAAATAAAATTAATCCAATATTTGTATTATTCGTGATTCATAATCATAATACTAATAAATAACGAAAAATTCCATTTAAAAAAAAATTTTTTTCTCATTTTTTATTTTTCTCCCCCTGACGATAGAGTACTTGCTAATGCACTCCCTCTTTCCGGGCCTTACACTTCCCCCGGGCCAAGTCTCTAACCACAGCTGGAAAACAGACTTAGGAAAAATGCAGTACACTATATATATATACCAAAAGAATCCAGGGAAAAAACCCTCAGAAAAAAGAATCCCCAGGAAAATAAACCCTCTCCCTCCCCCAAAAAACCCCTATTTCCATTTTACATGTTTATAAAATTTACTTAAGACTTAATATTAATGAATTTGTTTGCTATAATGGATACACTCATCTTTATATATAGAAAAATTAGTAATTTAAAAAAAATATTTTATTAATATGCTAAATTTTTTTAATGACCCCTATTCATAATTTAAACGTTATTTATATACCCTCCATAAAAAATGCTTGAACACGATAAAATGCTGATGTTCAAAGTGGTTCTGAGGAAAATACCACCGTATAACCCCCTGTATTTCTTATTTTCGTAAAATTATTTTCTATAGTAATAAATATAATATCCATCCACAATTACGATATAAAGTAGACTAAATTTTGTTATAAGATATATTTATTTTATTGGTAAATCATCATTATGTATGTACAAATTAATTTAGAATAATAATTAAATGAGTTGACATCGAATATTAAAAGAAATCGCTCTTATAAAATCTGGAAGGCTTTGCACACCAATCAGGCTCGTACGCAGCGGGAAGGGGGTGGCGGGGGAGGGCAAATCCCCCCCCCCCCTCCAAGCCAAAAAATGCAGATGCCGGATTATATTTTTCAAAAATATTATTGTTAATATTAATTTATATTTGTTAATATTTATTCCTATCTCATATATATTTCATTACATTTATTTATCACATACATCTACTAAGTTATTTTATCAATTAATTTCGATTTCAAGTTTTCCTTGGCGCAATTTACCTATTATTTCCAAATTTTGGGTGGCATATTTTTTATCTAAATTTCTAGCCAAATAATAATTATCTCTGAAACTCCTTGTCCAACAGGGAGAAAGAAATTGCAAGCTTGTCCAACGAGATCGAGTCTCCGCCATCAAGCATAACAGCTTTTATGGAGTTAGAAGAGCCGATTATTAATGCTATTACTGAAATATCACAATGGCTTGAAAGAAATATTTCCTCAGAAGCAAGAAAATTATTGGATTCAATACTTATTTTAAATTTTTTTTCATTAGAATGTAATATTTAATTATACAACTATTTTATGTAATACTTTTCAAAAACATGACATTGACTTGATTAAGAAGATGTGAATAGCGGAGAGCATTTTATATGAATTTAAGAAAATCAGAGGTAATGTTGATGAAGAACATATTTTATAAGTTATTGTTGAGTCAAAAGCAGAGCTATACCTGTTTAATATTTGCCCCCCCCCCCTTGACTTGCAGCAAGCAAGCTTATCGTCGAAACATTAATATAGGATCAGTAGAAGAGTATTATAAAACAAATGGCCCCTCTCTTAGATACATTTATAACCCAAATAAATGAATGGTTTTTAATTCATCATGCAGCACTTACAAATCCGCAGATATTACTTCCACAAAAGCCTTTCCAACCTTTTTCAAATGGTGATGGAAAAAAAATAAAGTATTTGTTAGATTTTTATTACGAAGATGTTAAAATATCCTATGATGCCTTATTAACTGAATAACTATGATTAAAAGATTACCTATGGTTGATACAGTCCCCAAAAATGCTATGGATGCTTTACATTATTTTAAACACATTTTAGATTATATTCCCAATGTATAAAAATGGTTATATATATATTAGCAACTCTTCTCATTAATAAACTGAGAGAACATTCTCTTTTGCAGAGGTACCATTTACAGGGCACGGCCCAGATTTTTTTAAAAAAATTTTTTCGGGTTTTTTTTTAAAAAAATTTTCAGGCCCAGTCCGACTTTTTTAAAAATATTTTATATTTATTGTTGATTTTTATAGCTAATAATGGCGATTTCAAATATTTGGTTTTAAAATATACAGCTCGGTCAGGATATTTTTTTTAAAAAAAATTTCAGGCCCCCGGCCCGGGTATTTTAAAAAATTAAAATACTGTTCCGGCTCGGAGACCGGGCCTGCAAATCTCTGAAAAACATACCTATGAAATACAACTTCTGAAAGTAGATTGAATGATTTGGATCTTGAATATTCATAGGCATTTAACTCCAAGCAAGGATAGATAATTGAAAAATTAGCTCAAAACATACAAAATACAATTATTCCTAAGAAACTTTTTGTGTATTAATTTATATTTCCAACATTTAAATTTTTTATACTTTATATATTTTAAAGGCTCAAAAAAATTCAAATTTCCATTTTTGGTCATTTAAGTGATCCATATCATATTCACTTTATATTTTATAATTCACATTTATTTTATAGTTTTTCAATGCCGGTTTATATATATAATTTTTTTGTAATTCACATTAATTTAAAATTATGTATTAGAAAAGTTATTAGTCCTAATAAATTTATGCTTAGTATTTTTAATTAACAACAATATTTCTTAAAAAATTTTATTATCCCCTCCCCCAGACCAAATTCCTGCGTACGCGCCTGACACCACTGTATTCTTCCCAAAGTTTTAACCTAATCTAGGCATTTTAACTGCGATTTTGTTTTTGGTATCCGACTATCTATATGCCATCGTTCAAGTTTGGTTTCATCTGTAGCCACCTCGCATTTCTTTTTTTTAATCAATACCCAGATTGATGGGTGTTAATTTCAACCAAATTAGAAAACTATTATTCAATCCAATTGATTGTTCGTATCTTCTTTGCCTGATAGAGTGCTCTGGTTCACGTTTCAAGTTTTCATAGGAAATTGAGGCTCAATTCGACGTATCTGGGACTGAGAATTGCTTGTTGTGACCTCCCTTGATATTCCATTGATATAATTAAAGCCGTCCATCATTCCACAAAAGAAGTTTAGAGTTTCATCGGTCCTCTATTGGCTTTCCGGACCTAGATTCTGAATTTACTTATGGGTACTTTGACACAAATGGTAGAAGCATCCTCTGATTACGATGTGATCCCCTAATTGAAAAAATAAATATTAATAATAAAACTTATTAATAACCATATCAATGATAGTTTTAACCGCGCTCATGATAGACTTTTTGAAATCCATATATTATAATGGATCAGGAAATAAATCCCTTTCATGGCATTTAGACATTATTATTTCGAATATTTTTTCGTAAGTAATGCGTTTTTTTTGGAGTATACAATAAACAGCTATGATAAAAATAGCGTTCTTTGATACTCTAATGACTTATAATTGTAGAAAATATTTTGGAGACATGGTATATGAATTTTCATTCATATACCATGCTGTCGTATTTGCTATTAAATTTAAAAATTTATCCGTTGCAAACTCATGTTAGAAACGGATTTTATTACTACTATTCTATCAATATTTGATGATAAGTATGAGTTGTTTCAAGTACCAGGTCTTGATTTTCGAGTGTTGATGATGATATTGCTCAGCATTTAATAGATGAATACTTTAAGCAGCGCCATCTTATCTTGTTTAAGTATTTTTTATGGATGGTATATGAGTAACCTTTAAATACGACTTTTCCAGGGTGAATCAGATCCATTCATTTTTTTATAAAATATATATTTTATGACTTAAAAATTATATTTGTAAATTATCAAATTAAAATACTATAAGAAATTTTTTTTGTCTTTATATAATATAAAGATGATACATATTATTAATGCTTTATTTCCTAAATACCAAGAATTATAAGGTTATTTGAACTGATGAATATTTTGTTGATTAAAAATAAATTTTAAACCTGAATGATAAAGAATAAGATAATACATCTTATTAGCTGTTCATAATTTACTTGCTGAACAATTACAATTTTTAACAAATTATTAACTTTCAATTGTCTAAATACCAGGAATTATAGCGTTTTCAATTCTGATAAACAATTTTAATTCTGTTGATTAATATAAATTTTAATCATGATAAATAATAAGAAAATACATCTTAATAATATTAATGATTGTGGCACTTGCTTTATTAAATTATTTATCAATATAATATATTGCCATGGGCACTCGTTTATAAATTTACTTAACAATATAATATATTGCTATGGTATACTAAAATATAAGTGTGTATAAAAAAAATTCTCCACCTATTCCCCTCTTCTTCAAGAAAGTAAATCAAAATAAAAATTAGCAAAAAAGAGATATAAATCCAAATTTTTAAAAAATAAAAGAAAAAAAATATTGGAAGAAATCCTGAGAATTTTAAAAGTGTTATTTATAAGCATCAAATTTGATTTTTTTAAAAAAATATTATTTTTATTTGAAATTTTTAAACAGGGGTTCTTCCTAAAGTATTTTCCTACAGAAGTACCATTTGTACGGCCCGGCCCGGATTTTTTTTAAAAAAATTTTTAGCCCGGATTTTTTAAAATTACATATATTTTTTGTTTTTATAGCTAACAATGTCGATTTAAAATATTTGGTTTTAAAATATATAGCTTGACTCGGGTATTTTTTAAAAATAAAATTTTAGGTCCGGCCCGGGTATTTATTTTTAAAAAAATAAAATACGGCCCGGCCCGTGTAATCTGGCCGGGTTTAGGTTCAGGCCGGGCATGCAGTTCTCTGATATATACTATATAATTTAATTTATAATTATTTTTAGTAAGATCAATAGTATTGCTAGCCCTTTCAACTTGAGGAGAACTACCTTAAAAAAAATTCTTTAAAATTCAGGGTGGAACCGAATTCGGGTTTAGAAATTTATAATTGTTTAGTTAAACATTTTGAGATTACAGACCAAGAAGAGACCGATTTATGCGTAACCCATCGAACCCGGGTTGGAGGGCCTTTTTTAGAAAATCGAATTCGATTAAGTTTATAAAAAATTCAGCTAATTAGAGTTTAAAATTCCTGAACTCGAATTCGGGTGCACAACCCTGCTACAATTATCAAAAAAATAAATTCAATTTTTTTTTATTTTAGCTAAAAAAGATTAAAAATTTTTTAGGTTGCTCTTCAAAGTTTTTAAGGAGCTATTGAGACCCTCCTCCATTCAACGAATTCCGATGAGTAGGGGAGACCAGAGTTATATTGTCCATAATAAATTAAAGGCTTATAAAAAAGAGAAGAAGTAACTTCTTAAAATAATTTAAACGTTGTTTTATTCTTTATATATTTAACTATGGTAGAAATTAATATCTATGAAGAAAATTTTATATATTTTAAAATCAAGTTATGAACATTGGTTATGAAAAATAACGGGAGACGTTTTATCCTTTTGTGGGGCATGTTTTAGGCTATCATTTTCTATAAATTTTATTTATTTTTTTCATAAAAAAATACAACAAATATGGTAATATCCTTCTTTGTTGATCCTATAGAAAATATTGTAAAATATTTGTCAAATAAATATTAAATTTACCAGTTTCATGTTATAAAAGATAAAACTTGCTATCACTTATAAAACTGTCTAATAATTTTTAAATAATAAGCCACACATTTTTATATTGAAATTGGTGGGCCTAGCTTAACTCGTAACCTCTGGTATTCTTAGTGACATTGATGGATTTTTTAAATAAATGTACTAAACCATCCTCAGCTGTTTTATTTATTTCTCAAGAGTTCGATATTTTTAAATTATGCGTAGCCATTTGAAATGCTAAAATTTTAACCCAAATATAAACATAATGTAATAAATTATTTAAATATTAAGTTAATCTCATAAAAATCTAAATCTAATTCTCAAAAATTTTATTCTGAATTTAGATTTCAATGTTTTAACATTAAATGCAATCTCCTGTTAAAATTATTAAATATGATTTTGATGCAAAAATACTTGATTATAAATATAATTAAATTTTATCTAATTTTTGTGAATCTATCTGTTTCTATACAATTTTACAAAATTCATTTATTTATATAAAATAATAAAGAATTAAAATGCTAGTTTAGGGCATATCGAAAATAGTCTTAAAAATTTTATCAAAAAATCAGTTAATATTGATTCTTACATTGGATTAAATATAGTTCTACGTATTAATTTTTCTTGAAAATCTCTTCTTTATAAATAATCTCTGACACCACTTAATACTTAATTAAATATATAAATTTAAATATAATCATTATGTATCTGCCATAAAAAATTAGTATTTAAAGCTATCGATGTCAAAAAAATCTTCTTCATTGAATAATTTCCTCTTGAATAACATTATTTTTTTTGTTGTTTTTTTAAAAATAAGTCCTAACCATTTTATAAGTCATTTAATGAATGTACGACCCGCTAATACCTTTCTCAGGTCCTCAGAACCATTATTAATTTTTAGATATCAAATTATCATAATTATTTTCAATATTTTTATTATGATAAAATGGATATTTTTTTTATCATTTGGAATTAATATTAAATCTAAACAACTTTTATAAAAAAATTTATTAGTGAAAATGTATTATTTCAAAAAGTTACTTTTGGTATGTTAAAATTTAAATTTGCCTTAAAAATTTTTCATGAAATTTTGTGAGAAATATTTTTAGACCTACTTAAGCACCTTATTAAAACATTTTTGGCCTAAATCTCAAAGTTTATTAGTTTTTAAATTATTTGAGAAGAATTACCTACCCCGGGATTGGTCTTCCTTATGGCAATTCATCAGAATAAAAGTGCATGCACATGACTATTTCTTTTCAAAATTGATATATATATTTTTTTTACCCAATTTAAATTGATATATTATAGAAAAAGTGAAAAAAGGGCTTAATTTTTTTTATAATATAATTTTAAACAATGTCTATACTGACTTAGTTTATTGATGCATATTATAACTGATAAATTTTTAAAATGATTATCAGTTTGAGTTCTTTAAAGTTGTTAAATATTTTAATCAGCCGAACACGTTAAAGTTTTTATATGATTGGGAGGTATAATAATAATTCTTTTTTGTTAGACATTTCGGTTGCCCAAATTCATAGATCTAACACATGTTTACTGAAAGCTAAGTAAAGTTGATTAAATAAATGATTGTTTTTTTGAAAAAGGGAATGTCATTTGTTACTTTTAGGTATAGGCTAACTTTTTGCAAAGCTTTTAAACAATTTAGATATTTAATATTACTTATAAAATTAGTATGATATGACATATATCATATTCGTAGTAATGATATTAAAGTAACTGATAAAAGTAGTGCACACAAGGCTTGAAATCCAAAAGGAATGAGTTACTCCCAGGAATTTTATTCGTTAAAAAACCTCTTCCTGGAATTCATGGCGCGATTTGTGGTAAAGTGCACAAAATATGCTGTATCTTTGTATTTTCCTCCGCCAATTTGTGCTAACTGTAAATTTATGGTAATAGAAAAAACGATACTCTCGTCTGGCTTTTAACCCTGAATCGTTTAGTCAATTTACCAGGATTAATGTTGGTCTCTCCACAAATTTTAAGAAAATGCTTGAGCCCATTAAAATTAAAAAGTTATTTGGATTTAAAATTTTAAGTGTAAATTTATGTTTTTGTTTTAAATATTTTTTTTTGGTCAAAGCAAAATCCTTACTATAGCTGATGAATCCATATGTTTTTTAATTACCAATGCAAACGTTAATAACCTTTTTCTTGATAAAAAAATAAGAATTTCAAAATTTAATTAATTTTTTTAATTATAAAAAGTAAAATAAAATAAAAACTTACAATTTAATTATAATAATTATTTAAAATTTTCTTTTTTTCGTGCAAAATATAAAAGAATATAAAAACGCTTCTTTTTTATCTAACCCCCCCCCCCCCCCCCCCCCGCCTTTTAATTTATAAAATAGAGAAAAAAAATCAGGGAATTGATAAAAAAATCTCTAACTATAAAATCAATCAGCTAAACCACCCGTTTTTTTAAATTTCAAAATAAAGTAATTGCAAATAAAATACAAGAGAATAAAATTATGGCAAGAAAATACTTTTTCCGCCAAACTAATAAAAAATAAATAGGCATACAGCTTAATCTCCTTAAAAATAAAATCAGTCTGCATCTCTAAAAAATATTAGCAGATAAAATATCACCAAAACTATTCTAAAAATGTATACATAATTCTATATTGCTAATACTTTTCTAAAAATAAAATGATTCTATATTGATAATTTCCCAAATTCTTTTATTATACAGAATCACTATATAAAAATGTCACATGATAAATTCTAAGAGACAAAAGGAAAAAAGTATGTTATATATCTCTTTTCCTAAAATAGTCGAAGAACTTCCATAAATGTCAATTATATATCAACAGATACAACAATAACAATTTTTAGATAAAAATAATATATTATAACATCCTAGATTTGTCACGCTGGTTAAAAGGATTTTTAAAGTAAGCTTTTTGCAACATTTCATTTAGATTCTAGATAAATATCAATATATTTTAACCTAGCCCAGATTGGGCCTTTTGTTTTTTTATAAATCTTTTCTTTATCTTTACCTAGTTTTGATGGTTATAAAATCAACTCAAGAAATAGAAAAATATTATGAAAAAAATAAAAATCTAAATGTTTCATTTTTAGTTTACTATATATATTTCTTAAAGAGTTTTAAAAAACTCTATGTTGTAGTTTTTGGTAATATGCGAGACCTTAATTTGAGGAGCTAGACTAAAATCAATGATCTATATAACAGAAAAGTTTCTTTAGAACTTGACTGTTGTCTAGATAAAGAGGAACCTAGACATGTTATCATGAAATTTCATTTATTTTTCCTACAATTAATATGGTTACTAATTTTTTGTCATGTAAGAAAGAAAATAAAATAATTTAAACAGCGATTTTATCGATATTCAAGTATGTGTTAAAAATAACTTTTAAAAAATATATATATTCTATATTCATATTCATTATCAATTTCATATTATTATCTTCATCATTAAAATTGTATTAATAATAATCCCACTCGACACGTGTCATTCTCCACAATACAGATCAATGCATCCTTAAAATAGACTTCAAAAATGCCTTCAATTCACTAAGAAGGGAACATTTTATACCCTCTTTTTGTGAAATATTCCCAGATTATTCAACATACATTTCTGCATGTTACAACCAATCCACCTTTTTAAAATTTAATGATTCTATCATTCTATCTAAACAAGGTATCCAACAAGGAGATCCTTTAGGTCCAGCATTATTCTGTCAAGGTATCCAATTAATCATAAAGGAAATTTCTTCCAATTGTGACCTTAAACTAAATGTTTGGTACCTGGACGACGGCACTGTAGCTGGCCCATATAACGAAATTATAAAAATTCCAACAATTATAAATGGCTTAGCCCCTATTACAGGACTGTTACTAAACCCAAATAAATGTGAATTTTATTCACCTCTTGAATCAGACTGCCCTCCTAAAAATTTTATCACAGTAAACAAAGCTAGCTTTACCCATCTAGGTTCACCCATTGGATGAGAAAATGCAAAATTTCATTTCAGAGATGAATTCCTTGTCAAATTCAATAGAATGACTATTTTAAAACATTTACCTGCCCATCAGTTTTATTTGCTTAAAAATTTTTTATTCATCCCAAAGATTTTACATACCTTCCGTTCATCGACAATCTTCACATCCCCTGAAATACTATTGGACCTCGAAGTCCATTTAAAAATTACCCTAGAATCCATTTTAAACATTAAATTCACATCACTCTCCTGGATGCAAGCTGCCCTTCCACCAAAGCTAGGAGGTATAGGCATCCAATCCCCCATCTCCTTGAGCATCTCAGCCTTCCTATCCTCAGTTGCTAAATTTCGTCATACACTCGGAGACTTGGATACTATCGACCCACATCACACGATAGCATTAGATCTATGGAAAAAACGCCCCAAACGGCTCACATCCCAATTCTATAAGACAAAGAGACTGGAATTTGCCATTGATACAACATTGCGTCAATTACTTACACTTCAAAGCTGTTCAAAGAAAATCTCCATCTCTTTTTCTCCACCCAAGCTCAACCCCATGCATACTCGATGTCCATAATACGACCCTTTTATCAGATCAAATAAATCCAGCTCCACCCATATGCCATCTTAGATATGAATGGTTAGAAACTATCCCTAGCTCTAATCTAGGCCTACTACTTACCAACGAAGAACTCAGAATAGCTATAAGCCTTCGCTTAGGCTGCGATATCGTAACCCCTACGACTTGTGTCCTATGTGAATCTCACATTGATAGTCTAGGACACCACCCCCTACACTGTCGTTTCTCAAAAGGCAGACTTCCTACATTAATTCAATAATCAATAGAACGCTGAGATCTACAAATACTCCCTCCACACTGGAACCTACCGGTCTTAGCTCCGATAATCAAACCAGACCGGATGGTTTGACGTTAGTCCCTTGGAACCAAGGTTTACCTCTCGCTTGGGACTATACCTGCGTTGATCGTTTTGACAGATCTTTTTCTTCCAACTCCATCTCAAAAGCGGAGAATACAAAAACAAATAAATATTGCCACCTTAATAATATTTTATTCGCTCCGGTAGTCTCAGACACCTGTGGATCATTCGGACCCCAAGCCTTAAAATTATTCAAAACAATAGGGCAAAGGTTACGATTAATCACAGGTGATCCGAAAGAAGGTTTCTACCTCCGCCAAAGGATTTCAATCGAAATCTGCCGTTCAAACTGTATATCCATTCATGGGTCATTAAGCCCCGTGGACCACACCTAATTAGATATCCCTCTTTTTTTTTTAATTTTTTTTTCTTAATTTCCCTTCTTTTAATTAAATATGTTTTTATATTGATTTTTTTGTTTTTAATATATATTTTTAATTCAATAGTGTATATAAATGTTCATGTTCATGTTTTAATTACAAATAAATATCAATTATTAATTTTAAAAATTAAATAATATACCTTATTATATATCAATATATTAAATTTTTTTACATGTATAATTATATTATAATTTATTGAATAATCATGTTTTACCATAATATATTTACTTTTTTTCAATTATCAAACACCCTACGTTATATACTACCTTCATTGCTTTATTATCTTGGTTTCTGAAATTAAAGTTTTGAGGTATAATATTCTTCCTTTATTCAAACCATAAATAATATCTTCAAATTTACTATATATCTTATTTATATATAAACACAGAATTACTTTTGAGATTTTATTTTTATTAATAAGTAATTAAGGAACTAATTTTAAAGGTTTTAGGTTAATTTGTTATATAAGAAAAATTAGATATCAAAAATTAAAAAAGGAAAGAAAGAATAATTTTACTAAAGAAGTGAAAACCGACCGACATGTATTATAATTATAATATTAATTAGTTTTCTTATAATTAATATAACCTTTTTAATGTTATACTGTTAAAATTAATTTAATTTATTATACGTAATAAAATAAATATTGTAATGAACTTGAGAGTAAAATAATTTATACTCTATTTTATTTATTATAAAAATATTTAAAAAGGTTCTTAATTTCGAATCGTTTTAGCATATAATAATTGAAAACTATAAATTCCAAATTTCCTTCTTTTTTCGTTAAAAAATGAGAGTTTTAAAAATTTGGGACTATTTCTGCTATTCGCCGGAGTGGAACGAACCCATTCCATATAATCACAAGCTATTTAACGAATCTTATTTCCTCGAAAATGGTCCTAGTTCTAGATTGTACAAGCGTTCTTTCTACGATAGCGCAAAAAAATATAGAGGGAATTCTTTTACTCGTTGGTGCGAAAATAAATTGCCCAAGGACCACAACCCAAAAAAGAGGAAATTTATCAAAACTACGCCATTATTGATTGGAGGTTCCCCACCTAATTCCGAAGAAGTTATCGATGAATGTCTGAAACAAATGATGGTAAATTATACTATCTTTCTATTTTATTCTTATAATTAGGCGATTTAAAAACATATCATTTATTTAGCATGCACAAATTTTGTTTAAGCTTGCAGCTAGTGTGTTAAACTGAGTCAATTTTTTAAACACGGATAACTCAATATTTTATCTAGAAAATATTATGTAAGCCTTAAGATTTACAGGTTTAAACATCTATTAACAAAATCTCTAGGCTTAGGCAATATTTTTCTGGGTAAAATATTGAGTTGGCCCTTTTAAAAATAAGCTCAAATCGAGCCGTTTAACAACACTTATTAAAATTAAAGGTGGGTAAGTTGGAAATTTATACTAGTGTGTATGGGGTGGGGGATTAATATCCTCACTAGCTTAGGGGGTGGGAAGGGCGAAATCACAGATTAAAATTAAATTTATGATTTTAAATATTTTAAAATATTGAAAATTCCTATTTTTTTTATTATTTTTTTCAGAAGGATTTTGGTTTGAACGATAAATCTAAGAATGATATTCTAAAATTGGACTCGAAATTCAAGTGGCACATTTACTGCACCTATAGACAGGTTTATAATTTTATATTATATCTCCAAAAAATCTTTTAAAATAAATTATATGATATAAGTTTAAAATTTGTACTGTATTCCATCAAAGCTTTATATAGCGATTGAACGGCTTTGCATATTGAAATTTACTCTGACTTTCTCTTAATAATTACAGGAATTGTTTTTTTCGGCTAGTTGTATTGCAGATTTTATGAAAAATATTTCTATAATTTTTTTGATAATAAAATATCTTGAAAAAATTGATAAAATGGCATATTTATATTCTTAAGAATTTTTACAGGTTAAAAATTTTTTTATTTGGAAGTTAATTAAAAAATATGGTGAAGTTTCCCATCACATCTGTTCAACACTGTAAACGTTGGCACAACTATTTACAACCGTATCTCTAATTACTTCTTAAATTCTTACAGGCCCTTCTACCTCTGCAAAGGGCGTGGGGGTATAAGTATGACATAAGATCAATATTGAAATTGATGAGTAATGTGTAGTTGTAAAAATGTTATCGTCTTTAGAATAAAGGGCTAATTTTGCTTGTATTTCTTTTTTTGTAATTCTTTAGGGGGTGTGGGATAATATTTCGAGGGGTAATTGGTGGAGGGGGGTTATTGTCATTCGTTTAGAGGATGTAGAAGTGAATCCTTATACAATAACTTATCATTAATGCACGCTAGGATTCTAAAATGAAAAGGAAAATATTTAAATTTCCGTTTATCCTTTTATACTATCGCGGGAGTAGGTAGTTACCTAAGAAATTAGTTAATTATATAAGCATAAAAAAATTATGTAATATTTAAAAACCCTATATGAGAAACCATCAATCCCCTTGAATTTCTACTCTTTTTATCTCATAATTGAAATCTTACATCAATTTTATATTCTTATGATTTATTAGGAGAAATGCGATTTGATGTATTTAGCCAGATCATATGTCAACTTATTAAAGGAATTTAAGGTAAAATTAATAAATATTACAATAATATAATCTATCTTATTATTATATAAGACTCAATCGGTAAAATTACATTGTACGCCTAAATTTTCTCTTTAAGAGTTAACGCATTTAATATAGTTATTTCTTACAGTTATATGATCTATAAATTTTGAAGTATATCATATCCATCCAACTAATCCTATTATGTTGTAGGAATATTTGCTTAAAAGTACTTCTGCGATACAACTAGAGTTAATATCCAAAACATTTGGGTTATTAAACTCTTTAATGATTGATTTGAGATGTAAGCCACCATTTTTCATTCGCGAATTGATAGGTTTATCAATCGTGGATCTAATTTTCAATCTGATCAATAGTCTGGCTTACCGATATTTATCCTGGACAAACACTTATTCTGTTCAAAATTTGGAACGTAGTCATACCACCATGAACACTTTTCACGATAATTCAATTTGCTGGCAAATACTTATGGTGCAATATTTAATCCAATGCTTGAAACACGTAACTTGTTCAACTGTAAGTTTGAATCTAATTTTATGATATCTTATATATTATACTTATATTTTAGAATTTGGATTGTTAAGTTATAATATATTTTGTTTGCCTAAATAATATAAATAATATAAATATAGTAAATTTTTTTATTATATACCTTTTTTAAAGGATGGGCTAATTTTTTATTATTTTTGGAAGATAAATTTCTTTACATTATTTTATTTTAAATCATGGCAATGGGCACATAAAAGCACATATTTTTTACTAAATACTCTATTAATATAGGAAAAATTAGATAAAATGTTCAACAATCCAAGTCATATAGAGCTACTTATAGCTCTACTAAACGATGTCATATTTTTATCCGATGAATTTTCGACAGGCACCTCAGAATCTGCGAAAGCAGGCATTATAACTTCTACAAACAATACTTTATATACCAACGCTCATAACTCCTTTGGTTCCGATATAGAACCCTTATCTATCTCTTTATCCTTTGATGCTATATTCGAGAAATTTGAGGATAAAACTCATAAAATTATGCCTCAAACTAATAATGGTTACACTCAAAAATTAAGTTCTGACAGCGATTATTTAAAATTTCAAAATTCCTTTTACTCCTTTAATTGCACGCTCAGAACAAAGGCATTGATATACGATATAATCAACTATATGATTTACCTACCATATTACAAAAGGACTGTTCTCAAATGTTTCGGCAAAATAAGGATAAGTCTTAAATACTCTTCCAGATTCCAAAAAATAATGTGGGATTTATCCAACTTATTGAGGCAGTACAGGCTAAAGTATTCTTCTAAATTAGAACATTTTTCAGCCACCACAAATAACCATTCTGAAATGAATAATGGTTCCTGTTTTCCTGCCGATGATAATACATACAAACATAAAAAAGATACTAATAATACAAAGGCCCCTAAGATAATTATCAATAATTCAACAACGAAGAGACTTAAAAATTCTATCTCTAACTTAAATATAGGCAGTCTCAATTTGATATCTTCCATAACATCTAGTCTACCAAAGATTTCTCCCTTTAAGAGACTTGGCACACTATTTTCCAATTTTTCTCCATTTTCTTTTACTATCTCACCCTTCGATCGTTCTGTTTTCATATCTTTCAATTTTAACGATCCTAACGACTCAGATTTCAAAAAATGTAGATCGGTTTTCAAAACACCTAAAATGTCTTTTAATTCTAAAGATGTAATAACACAGCCCGATAATTGCAGTTACACCAATCATGGTTTATCATTGCAAGACAAAAATTTGGACCACCCAGTGGTAAACGCCTATGATAATACTAATATGACAGACGACAAAAACTTACAAAAAAGCGGAGACAAATTTCATATAGATAATAGTGAGTCTTTAGCTGTAATAGAATTCGTGGCTTCTATGTTGGCTTTCATCAACGTTATGATTGATTATTCGTTTGATCGAGTAAGAGAATTTTAAATTACAGGTTATATACCTTGGGATAGTATATTTTATTATGTTTAAAGATTTCCATAAAAAAGGGTCTTAATTTTATTTATAATATTAAACAAATACTTGACTCAATTTATTGATGCGTATACTACATATTTTTTCAAATAATTATCAATTTGAGTTCTCTAAAGTGCTAAATATTTTAATCAGCAGAAACATGTTCAATTTTTTAAAAGGGAGATAATAATAATACAAAGTATTTTGAGATAGGTTTTGCTGAATTGGCCTGATACTATAATAGTTATATTCTGATTGACAATTATAATCTCATTTCATTGGTTTTTTTAAAATCAGTTTTATTATTATGTTACAGAGAATTTTATTTTTTTGCGAAAAAAAATTATGCCCAAAGAAGGCTTTGGAATATAGATTACATATGCGAAAAGAATTCACGGATCTGGGGCTACTAGATATAATTGAAATGATCGAAACTATTCAAGAAGATGATATTATAACTAAGTTTTTTTTTTAAAAAAACTTTTCTTTACTTTAGCTATATGTATTAATGACCGAGGCACATTTGGAAGATTTTGTAAAATGAAACCTTGTAAAATCAGTATAATAACTAGAAAAATATTGAGTAATATTATTATTCACCAGATAACTATAATTTTTAGGGGGATAAATTAAATAGATATCATTTATTTTTTAATTATTTTTATTAAAAAAATTTTTGAAAAAATAATTTAGACATTTGAAGTTTTTTACCGACCTAAAGAGGTTTGATGACCATATTGTCTTCGAAAGCTATAACAATGTAATATTTTTTTCATAATTAATGAGGCTAATCTAAAAAATATTTGACTATTTTATTATGAAATTACGAATACTGAATAACAAATTGTTTTTATAATTGTTAGAATATTATAAAAAATGTTTTTGATTAGACTATAGGCATCAGAATTTTAAAGAAAATCTTTGAAGATCATAAAATTGAAGATATATTTGATCAAAATAATTTTTACAAAAAAGATTTGAAGTTTTAGATAAAATTAGATCAAAAATCTTGTTGAACATTCTCAAAAAATATTATTTAAAAAAAATCTTCATTTTAAAGATCTTGTTAGAACAATTTATTTTGAATACTAATTTTTATTAATTTCACGTTATTATCTTCAGTTTTTAAAAAAATAAATGCAGTAATATTATATATGAAAAGGAACTAGTCAATATCGGGCTCTTTAAAAAGAATCAGATGGATCTGATATTGATTCGAGCTCGGACCGTATCGAACCCGGTATAATTCTAACGAATAGTAAATTATTCGATTTACATTATATAAATTAACTAAATTAGTCGATTCCTTCAATCAAATATATGAATATATTATTATTCAGTTCTATTCATTTTTTGGAGGCCTAATTAATATATGAATATTTGGATATATTATTTGAGCTATAAATTGTAACTTATCAAGCTGAACATATTTAAATTCTTCACTAATCTTAACAACATTAAATTTCTATATAATTATATTTGTTATTTATTCACTAAAGATTCCTTCAAATGAAGGTCGTATAGACCAATTGTTTGATAATTTAAATCACATATTAGAACCAACACCTTCCTACAACTATTTCGAATCTTTCCTATACCACGCGGTTTTAATATCAAGTATACATAAATTATTATCTATTAATTAAAGAATGAATAATAGATTTTTAATGGTATTCACAATGAAGAAAAATATTTCTTTAAAGTGATACTTCCGGCTTCACTAATATGATTTTATATTCCCTCCTCCCTCACAATATTTTTTAAAAATATATTATGTATAGGATTAAATGAAAAAAGTTTCTAATTCTTTTTTGCTAGAAAGGGGGGAGGGAGTTGACTACCACATATAAAAAGAATTCTTGAATATTAAAATTTTCTTTTCAATTGATAAAAAGAACAAGAAAATGTAGACAAAGTTAAAACGTCTTGGAAAAATGTGGATCTGTTTATTCAACAGCTATCAGCGCAAAATTTTGCCATAGAATTAGATAAATCTGTCTTTCAAATCGATCAGAATAAGCTACAAAAGTATAATAACATATATTTTTATAGTTAAGAGATACAAGGAATTTAAAGAATATATTCTCGAATTTGACTGTTATTTCAGATTGTAAAGACATAAGATTAAACAGATTTTAACTTTTGTATAATAAAAATATATATTATGCATATAGAAACCAATTATAACGTTTCTCGATGGTCCAGAAATTTAAAGCGAAAATAGGGAAACTAAAAATTGCGAAAAAAGCAGAAAATGTTATAAATTAAATATAAATAAGAAGAAAAGAGTTTTTTCAACAATTCTAAATTTTAGAATGTTTCCCCAAATAGCCACTATATAATATATCTTTTTAAATTAGCATTTATATCAATGATGAACCTATTTATTAATATAGAGCTCTGCATCTTTCAAATTTAACATGTATAATTTATAATATAGTAGTTCAACAAAACATGATGAAATTAAGCGTCGAGATGATAAATTGATCAAGGAGTTAGAACAACGATCGGATGGTTATCGAAGAGAATTAGCGACCTTGAAAATGGAACTCGAACATTACATAATCAATAATGTAATCTGAAAATTTTTTTGAAAACCATTTTGACAACCCAATAACTAGAAATTAATTTCATTTAAAGAGAGGAGACACAATCTTTACTTATCGTTTAATTATTAAAGTAAAATACTCCTAGTGTATCGTCCTTAGTTTCTAATTTAATAAATTATTGACCTAATACAGTAAAATATATAGGGATAAATTAAAATGATATAGTTCATTATATTCTAAGTTATTTTATAATAATTTATTTGATTATATTCTAAGTTATTTTTTAATAATTTTATAAAAAATTACCTGTATGAAATATTAGTTGGATTTAGTTATTATATTGTAATATTTTAAATAATATTTCTTCTAAAAGTTTATGTAATTTTTGACCAAAATTATAAATTAGTCTCCTAAATTAATAACTGTTTTATTTACTTAGTAGAGGTATATGAGGACAAATAAAAATCGTGTTATTAGACTAAAAATGATTATAATTGGTGAATAATTTATGAATTATTTTACTTTTCTTTTATAAACTAGTTAAGTATTTTCTAACGAGGAATATAAATGGTTTTAAAATGGAAATAAAAAATGCACAATTTTTAAATATAGTATTTTTTTTAGTCGAGTTTTAAAATATTCAGTCCAGCCAGGGTTTATAGTACAAAAAACTGATTTTAACAGTAAAATAAAGGTAGTTACTTTTAGAGTATAAATACTTATATTTTTAGTATAAAAGAATTGGCATGCGAGAAATATTTTTCATCATATCATAATTATCAACATAAGGTTTACTTTTGAAACTTTATTATTTTTAACCATTTGAAAAATTTAGTTTATTAATGATTTTATATAATAAATACAGTTAAGAACATTTTAATTAAAGTTTTCCTATTATCAATATTGCGCGATTCGATTATAATGGAATATTGCAAACCTACGCAAATCCAATTTTCAGGCCTGGTCCGGAGAATTTTGATTATTTTAAATTTTACTACCTTTTGATTTTAAAAATTTGGTCATTTTAAAAAATAATCTTATAAATAATTTCAAGGGAAAATTGAAAATATGAGAAGCGAATGCTATCTTAACTCCTGAAAATAAATATGCGAGCATTGGCAATGTTATATTAACCCAATTTGTCACTAGTATACACCTGGGCCAAGCAATTACTAATTTACCAAAGCAACTACATTGCTATCCATGGTTCAATGCCAATAAACTCTTCTTACTTTTTTAAAATATCTAACTGGGGGTTTTTAAAAATTAGGCGTGTTTTTAATACTCTTGTATTAGTGATTAGTTTTATACTAAATATTTAAAAAAAATGTTTAATTTAAATAATTTGAATTTAGTTTAAAAACTCGGCGCGCCCTGATTTGCAATTATTTCCATTTTATCATACAATTTTACGGGCCAGATATACTCTCCGGACTTGCGAGTTTCTGTGAACATATAATTCCTTCTATTTTACCTAATGAAAGCCTAAAAAATTGATATTTATTTTTTTTAATGATATTTTAATTATATTTATTAAAAAATATTATCAAATATTATCCCAAACATTTTTATAAAAATTTCTTAATTAATGACATCAATTATTTTTATATTTCATAATAAAAAATGCAAGGACGAGATGAAGAAGCATTTAAACGCGTTGAAACGAGAATATGATAAAGAGATTTTGAATAGGATATATGTCCAAAAATCTTTACCTGAACATAAAGCGGAAAGAAACTGCAATTACAATAATAATATAGATTCAGATTTCTTAACAAATGATTATTCAAAAAATTTGAGTGAGGAAGCAATATTTTCAAAGACAAAAAATGACGCGGAACACCAGAAAACGCCATTATTACATCATAATTTGTTATCGAAAGAATGCGAGTCGGTTAAAATTGTAAACAGCATGCCATCACCCCCGAAAGCACCACCCTTACCTATTAATTTGGGTTTGTATAATAATTTCTTTTTTATATTTAAAGTAAAAAAATATAGATGTGAGGAATAATGAATGATTTAGGGATAAAAGGGCAATGAAAAGAATAGGGGAAAAATACTATATGAATAAAAATATTAGTTTATGTTTAATATAAAACCTAAATCAATATTATATTAAAGTTTTTTTTATCTGATTAACTTTTATTGCTTATAACTCTTTTACAAAATGTAGAATCCGAACCCATGAATAAAAAGTGCAAGAATATACCTGCACCATCTTTACCAATGAAATCCCTAAATTGGAAGGTTTTACCGATCAAAAATGTAGAAGGTACTATATGGGAGCTCATGAATGAATTCAGTGTACACGCATATTTTATCTAACATTATTAACTATGCTATGATATGTGAAATATTTATTTGATATAATATGAGATCTAGTATTGTGCAACAATTTTTGATGATATTACTTTTCTTCTTGTTAAATTAGGAAAGAGCTACTTAAAATTCTGACAATCATTCTAAGTTTTTAACCAGTGCGTTAAAATAGTCACTTTTTATAGCTAATATTTAGAAACAAATTTTCATATTTTCTTTTATAAATAATTGAAAACACCAGATATACGAACAAATTGATATGGAGGAATTCGAAAAGTTGTTTTCGGCTTATCAAAAAACACAGGTAAAATATAGTTTAAAAATAATAATATTTATATTATAGAATTATTCCAAAAATCAGCGAAATTACCTGTTTTTTCTAAAGCATGCCAAAAATTTTTTTTTTAGAATATAATTGTTTTTTTTATTGCTTACCTATAAATGATAAAAGCTAACGGGACGGGGCCTCTGAATAACATAATCGTGAGGATTTCCTTAATATTTTTGTTTTACGAATAACAGATATCATTTGCGTTTCCGAGGCTTCATATTATATTACACATAATTTTTAAAAAATTTTTAAGCAGCTGAATGAAGATATGGTACTTCAAAATATTTATAATAATAACGATTTAACGAGCCCTAAAACATCTATCATACCAGGAGCCCCTTCGTTATCTTTGATAGAAAGTAGAAGAGCTCAAAATTGTACCATACTCCTTTCCAAGCTTAAAACAAATTATGTGCAATTAACTAACAACATTTTGAATCTGGATCCTAATAATGAGTTGCACAAAGATATGTATGATCAGGTAAACATTCTCTCTTACTTGCAATAAAAAAAAATAGCTTCATGCTTTTAAAATTATTATAGGGTTTTAACTCCACTTTTGGTTTAAATTAAGTTTGGTTCAAAATCTTAACCTATGGGATTCCATCCATTTCTTTACATTCAAATTTCTTAAACCCAGTTAGAGATCTGCAGATTCCCCTTTTTCGTTGAGGCTGTTTTTAGGCCCTTGCCCCGTCCGATTTTTAAATTTATTTTAAATCCGAATTGGGAAATATAAATTAAAAACAATATTTATAAAGTTAAAATCAATTTTTAGAACATGGTGTGTACTATCAGAGAATAGTCCAACCATCGTTTTATTCTTATTTTAGCAATAGGAAGAGACAAAATTAATGCTGAAACGAAATTTTTTAAGCTCAAACCGGGCCCAATTTTATGAATTTATTTATAGGCCCGAAATTATTAGCAAGGCTTTTTAACTCTATAGCATGTTTTTTTAATCACTTCCTATGAAACTGAGTTAGAATTCTATAATACAGCATTGATATATTGACAATTTTGCTGATATTCTCCCCTAAAATCTCAATCAATTATAAAATTGTTCTCTAAATGATCACTCTTCACCTTCATAGTCATTTCTTTTGAATTTATTTTTTAAAAATATGCATATTATAGTTACTAAGATTTATACCTACTTTGGAGGAAATATCGATATTAAATGAGCACTCAAACGAAGTCCACAATTTTGCCAAAGCTGATTTATTTTTGTATCAAATGTCCAAAATATATCGTTACGAACAAAAATTGAGGTATCTATGTTTCAAGAAAAAATTTAAGGGAAAACTTCAGGAATTGGAACAAAATATTATCAGTAAAACTTTAATTACATTCAATTAAATAGTTTGTTACTATAATGAATCAGAAAATTAACCAATACCTAATTTACCAAACATCAATTGCCTTAAAACCTATAGAGATACTGATAGTTTTTAATGCCATATTGCTAATATTACCATCTATTTTATTTTGAAAAAAAAATGTCATCCTTGTGTAATAAAGAACTCAGGAGTATGCTTGGGTAATTGCCCTATTTTTTTGTCCCTTCGGTTTCTGCTAAGAAAAAAATTGTTAAATTTAGATCTTAACAAAAATATCATCTTCTAATTTTTTATTTGAAAATATTGCTCGAATATGAAAAAAGCAGATATAAATTAATTCGCATCTCAATGCATAGCCATTTTCTTAGGCACGCAAAAGCAGATTTAGCCGTATTAGCTATCACTTAAATATACTCAAGAGGAATATTTAATACAAAAAATAGAAAAAGTATTTTTAATAAAAATGAGAAAATAATGTATTCTGACTGCTACATAATTTTTTAAATTTATCAACAGTATAATATATGAGAAAACTTGGCACTTTAACAACTTTGATGATAATATTATATTATTATTTTTATTATAAAATTTTTTTAGCATATAATATGGCATGTGAAGAAATTCTCTCCGAATGCACTAATATTTATTTCCCCCTGAATCAGGAACAAAAATGCAATCCTAAAATCCTAAAAACGATTCTGGAGTTAACCCTAGCCCTGGGAAACTATATGAACAGAGGAAACCGTAAAAATATTTGGGCTTATTCGCTCGATAGTTTGAACAACCTAAACGACACTAAGTCTAGCTTTAATTCTAATCTCACATTGCTACATTATACGGTGGGAATATTGGAAAAAATCGTTGACCCTGAAACCCTAGAATTTCACGTAGTTCCTTTGTGGTCGGTTTTGGAAAAAAATTTGAACCATATCAAGCCAGCTTCTAAGATAAAGTTTAACTTTTTTAAGAAAATAATAATAATATTTTTTAAACTATATACTTCGAATCAAGCTTGACTGAATTGGAATTAGACATGAAAAAATTGGGAAAAGGATTATTGGATATAAAACAAGTGATAATAAAATTAACGATATCAATCATAATTATATTATATACTTTTTAAAAAAATATAAATGATTAGGAAATAAAAATCCATTCCGAAGCTTTTAAAAAAGAGCCCAATCTTTTGGATATACGAGATACATTTATACCCACCATGACTGACTTCATAACTACGTCAGAAGGATTATTTTTCCGCACTAAGCACATGTTTGAAGACATGAAAATAATGGTTAAGAATAAAAACTTTTAATATTCTTTAACAAGAGGTGTGATTTAAATCATACTCGGTTTCTAATCTGAGTAATGAATTTTAAATTGAGAAGAAAAGTGAATTATTTTTTTTATAATTTTATTAAAAGCTCAACAAAGTATTAGTACTTTTTGCGATTCGCGACGACATCCATACTGACCTAAACGCATCAAAGAATAAACAGGATTCAGCAATTAATATCTTCGAATCTCTTGATAACTTTATAGTATCTTTCAAAGAGGCCTCCTTAGATCTTAACAAATATCTGCTAACTAATTCCAAAAAAGAGTCCATCATAATTCGACCACTCAATTTTGTCGAAAAATTGGAAGTAATTTTTTTTTAAATTTTATATTCGACATTCGTATAAAACGAATTAAATATTGAAAATTAGATTCGATTTTAAGAGGGTTACCTCGAATATAGTAAGCATTTTCAAAAATTTATGATTATTGCAAACTAATTTAACATAAATATTTTGTTAATATTAGAATATATGGTAAATGTTAGAATATTTGGTAAATATTAGAATATTTAGTAAATATATTTACCCAAAATTATATTTACAATGTTATCCTCATCAAGTTTTTTAAATTATTATATCATCATTTTTTATTTTTAGCCGACAAAAAAGGAAGACATGGTTACCCAAAAAGTAAAATCTCGAAGTTCGAAAAGCAGTGATTTAAATATAAACCCGTATAACTTAAATTCTGGCTATGAGCTAGAAAAAGTTAACAAAACAGGCCAAAATAAATGGTTCTTTAAAAAAGAACAGATGGAGAATCGCAAATTCAAAGAATTAATTGAGGTATTGCAAAGCTCAGGAAACTAAAAAAATTTTTTTTACATTGTACTAATATATAATGTGTTTTTAATTAATATATTATTTATTAAAATTTTAATGTATATAATTTTAAAAATAAAGTTAAAAAACTACTTTTAATTACAATAAATGTTAATATCTTTGATTAGCGATGAAAAAAAACGCCCCCTCCATCTTAATTTACACAAACGAATCTGATACAAATTCAGAGAACATGAAGCTATACATTATTTTAATATTTTTTAGCAGATCAGGTTGATATATTATTTAGTAAAAAGTGTCTTTATAAATATTTTGCCTAAAAGATTCTGGTTTTATTATTTTTCAGTTCAGCTTGTTCAGATAATTCTAAATTTTTTTTTGCTTACAAGAGTTATATAATATATTTCATATTTAATATTACAAAGCAATTAAGTATCGAAATTAAACCTATCTCACAGCCTTAGTTTGATAATAGTGGACCTATATTTATATATATTACTGCAATTTTTTTAAAAATGTTAGGTAATTAATATTGTACGCCCGAACTGGCCCGGGTATACGTCAAAAAAATTTTTCCATAAACCCAGGCCGGGCCGAATCTTAAAACTCTACATTTCTCCTTAAATACTTTACTATAATAGGATAAAATAGATAGTTATTAATTCAGAGACTATAGTTCTTATTTTTAGTCTCAATCATACAACATTACAAAATAAAAAATTTGGCCAAAAATGAACACAAATATACTCATATAATATTTTATCCAGAAAAATATGACACAAGCCTTAAGATTTTGCTCATAGATAGCACAAAGGGTTGGACAGATAATAGTGAAATATCAAGGCTTAATATTTTTCTGGCTAAAATATTGAGTTAGCCATTTATAAAAATAGGCTCAAATTTATCCGTTTAACATTAGAATTACTAGTGATGTAAACGTTACTTCAAAAAGGAACGCATTACTATTATTCCTTACCTTGTGATAAAAGGATCGCGTTTCTCACTATTCAAAAAAAGTAACTAAATTTTAAAATATTATAATAAATTTTCTTTTTATTTATCCAAATATAATAATAAATAAAATCATACAAAAATAGTATATTATAAGCAATGACATATAATAATACCTAGACCGACGATTCATTCATTAAAACTGTACATCAATACAAATCAGCTGGGGACGCCATCTTGGAGCCTAATTTATTCCTATCTGATGCAAACTTTATTAAAGAATTGCCTGATCATCGTGATAATAAGGAAGCAGGTTATCAATTTAATAGTAGTTTTTAACATGAAAATAATTATTATAAAGGTTACCAAAATGGCGGGTCCAGCTGATTTGCTTTTAACGACTCTTTAAAATGCATTTTAATGAATGAATGTCTAGGTATTATTATATGTCATTAATTATAAGATAAGTTCTTTTTTGTAAAATTTTTTTAATTATTTTTAACAGTTGATCAAAATTTTGTCAGATAAACAATGCGCTTAGTGCTTAATACAACTTTGGCTGTGCTAAATACACTTTTAAATGGCGCAGAGGATGGGAGGGTTGTATTATATTTAATAAATAAAATTTTAATTGGGGGAATTTATAAAAAGTATTTAAAGAATGATCTTTATTTTCAAAAAACCTATTAACTCGTCTTCATATCTTTATCAGAATGTAACCGGAATTCATATTTTTACCTTCATATGTTTTTAGATTTGAGTTGCTGGACATCGAAGTTCAAATATTTGAATTAGGGCGCCATTTACATTTACACAGTGTAGAATTAGTTTCTTTACTTTATTTGTATAAAAAATGTTTCATATTGGGGCCTGGGCAGGGTTAAATCATCTTCATCTGAAGAAATGAGCACTATTGACATAGATTTTTATAAAATGGATTTTATTATTAGAGAATATAAAATCATCCTTGATTGATTCAATATTAATTAGACTAACAATCTTGACTGTATGAAATTAACAACAAAAATGTAATAAATAAAATAAAAAGGAAGAACTTTGGTGGTTGATCTGAATTAAAAACTCGGTTCAAATTATTTATAAGATGTCGAGGTTCAGGGCTACCATGTATAATATCTACAGATCCTCCTCTATTTAGTCTATTAAATCTAGCAAGCCCTCCCTCTCCTATTGTTTCTACTGACTTGCCTACCAGTCAACAATCCCCCAACATTCATGGGCCAATGATTTTTTATCTCTACCCAACTTTCCCACCATATTCCGCATACCACAGGGTGCTCTTAATTCTTTTGCAGATTCCTTCAATAAGTTAATCGTATCAACAGTAAACAATCCTGGAAACCTATACAATTGGAAAAACTTACTATGTTTTACCAATTTCACCCTTAAGATCCCCGATAATAAAAATATTTTATTATCCAAACATACAAAAACATCAATATCCCTTTTCAACCCTGATTCCATACAAATCCCTACTCCCCGAACCTTCCAATCCTCCCCGTAGGGCTAAAACAGTCTCAAACAAAATAAACAGCCTTAACATAAACTCAGCCCTCATGGCTATGACCTCTGAAGTTAGCTCCAAAGAATAAGTCCACCTTAGAAGCTTTGTTTCTATAACACCCCATATGTGATTCAGAATTTGCCTTCTCAAGTCAAAACCACCATAAAGCTCCCGAAATCAACACTGATGAGACAATCAAAGCTGTTAGATCTTTTAAAGACTCTTCCGGAGGTTTTGATGGCATTCGTGCTATCTTCATCCAAGACATTTTAAAACCCAACATTTCATGTAGAACCCTTTTACAGAACCTTACCAGGTTACTAAATATAATTCTTAATGGACCCCTTCCATCACCTATCATTCCTATTCTCTTTGGTTCCCGCCTTATAGCCCTCAAAAAAATACGGAGGTATTCGTCCAATTGCTGTTGGGTTGTTCTTCCGAAGGACTGTCTCTAAGATTATTGCTTCACGAATAAAGGAATCCCTTTCTTCATTCCTGTCGCCACTTAAAATAGGGTTTGGTGTTCCTGGAGGCTCTGAAATTTCCGCTCACCTTGCTCGTTTAACTATAGCTAACAGTATACCAGATGACGTGGTCCTAAAACTGGATTTCAACATTGCATTTAATACAATAAAACGCCAACACTTCGTTCCCCTATTTTGCAACCAATATCCCGAATACTCTACTTACATCCTCCACAGCTATTAGAGCAATACTTTTTTAAAATTCAATAATAACATAATCGAATTTCAAGAGGGAATTCAACAAGGAGAGCCCTAAGGCCCAGCCCTCTTTTGCATCGGGATTCACAAGATAATCCAGGAAATTCAATCTAAATCTACCTAAATTCCTGGTATCTTGATGACGGCATCGTCTCGGGCAACCTCTCCACAATCACGTCCATCCCCCTCATCAATGAGAATCTCTTTCATATAAAAGGACTATCTCTCAACCTCCCCAAATGTGAGATTTGCTTCCTAAATCGCACTTCTATCCCTTCAGACATTGCATATCACGTCATCAACAGAGACGATATGACACACCTTGGATCACCTATAGGAGGTGAAAAGGCCATTGAAACATTTTTAAACAAATCCCTTAACAATTTATCCAAATTAAATACATTATTTAATTACCTCCCAGCCCATCAATCTTTTTTTTTAATAAAAAATTATTTCAATACACCTAAAATTCTTTACGCCTTGAGATCCTCTCCGATCTTTAAATGCCGCGACTTGCTCGTTTCCCATGAAACCCAAATTAAGGGTCTTCTTGAAAACATATTAAACCTTAAATTTTCCAATTCATCTTGGCTTCAGGCCATCCTTCCCAGCAAGTCTGATGGTATTGCTATCCGATCCCCAATACAACTTTCCCTCTCAGCCTTTATCTCATCTCGTCTTGCTGCTCAATCTAACATCGATAATGGATCCACTCCTTTAGATACTGACCTTTCGCAGTTCACCTTTTGGGACAGCACTGCTCACCCACCCTTTGTATCTTTCCAGCATTCAAAAAGACTGGGATGCTCCTCTGATCGATGGTTCCGTTGAATATTTCAAACAGGCCCTTTGAGAACAATCCCAATAATTTAGTATTATATGCAAGCTCAGGTTACGAATTGGAAGCCATCCCCAGTTCCAATCTTGGCCTCCTCTTGACTGGCGAACAGCTACACATTTCCATAGCCCTCCGCCTTGGCTGTAATGCTGTGGTTCCCTAAATTTTCATCGACTGTGGCCATCCCATCGAATCGAAAACTTACCATCCCTTGCACTGCGAGTTCTCTCATGGACGACAACCGCGTCTTAAATCTATTAACAATAATCTCCTAGCTGCTCTTAAAAGAGTTAATATTCCATCCACTCTCGAATCAGTCTTCCTCTCAAACGAAAACGCCATACGCCCTGATGGCATATCTCTCATTCCCTGGACCAATGGTCTCCCACTTGCTTGGGACTATACCTGTGTTGATTTTGCCGCCAAGTCCAACCTCTCTTATTCTGCCATCGAACAGGCCGAAATTCTAAGAAAAAACAAATATCCTTGCCTCACCAACACCGTGTTTATCCCAATCGTTACCAATACCCTAGGCATGTTCGGAAGTGATGCTCTCAATTTCATTAAAACCATATGAAAAAAAATGAGGCAGATCTCAGAGGACCCCAATGAAGGATTTTACTTTCGTCAGCAGATTTCCCTGGAAATCTGCCGGTCCAATTTTTTAAGCATTCACTTTTTTTTTTCCTCAGTTCTTTTATATATATTTTTTTTCAAAATTCATTTTTAATATATGCTTATTTGTTTTTTAATCTATATATTTTTAATTATAATTTGTGAAAATTTGTTTTTTTTAAATTAATAAATAAAATTCATAATTAAAAAAAACAATATATAATAAAATAAATAATATTTTTTAAGAAAAAATTTAAAGTAACTTAGCATTACCGTTACTCTAAAAAGGAAACGTGTTACCCGTTACCTTTTGAAAAAGCAACGAATGGCCTTACTTTTCTTCAAAAAATGTAACGCCTTTAGACTGACATTACTTTTCAGCACAAGATTTTATCTATAAAATCATAAACAATCCAATGCTTTTAGGTCCGTGAAGTTGGTGGAACAATTTCAGGATCAATTAACAAAACCTATGCCAATATTTAGAGTCTTAATTGATCTTCAAACCAGACATCCGCGGAATCAAAGGTTAATGAGTTGTAAGCAAATTAAGAAATGTGTGAAATTTTGAAGCTAGCGGAACGATTTGAGGATCAATTAACGAAACTTATACCATTGTGTAGCCTGTTAATTGATCCTAATTGATCTTCTATCCGGGCAGCAGAGGAATGAACCGTTACTGAGTTATAAGCAAAATAAGAAAGTTTTGGCACTTTGCCAAAACCAAAAATATATAATATTCTGTTTTGAAACTTGGCAATTATTTAGTATTTAATATGTACGTTAATAATCTGCAAACCGGATATCCTTATCACTGACCATAACCGAGTTATAACCGTTTTAAAAGCGTGAAGTTAGTGGAATCATTTTTAGAAAGTGAGGATCAATTGTCAAAAATTATGCCAATGTGCACCGTTAATTGATCCTTAGATTTTTTTATAAATTTATGTTAATAGCGAGAATGGTCATTTGTAAAAGTCACTATTGGAGTGAATATGAAGTTATTAAAATATTTGTATTTGTTAATCTTTTTAGTTTCTGCTTATCAGTGTTGATATTTAAGTTTGAGGGGAATAATGAAACACATATGCAGTCCCAAATTAGTATCACTCTGAGATAAATTTGTGGATTCAACATGATTCGGAATGTGGGCGGCTGTTAAACCTCGATTTATTATATGGTTTATTGCTGTATGGCGTTGGTTAAATCAAATATTAATTAGAGAATTATAGAGTTTTAAAAAATATACTAATTTTTTTTACCTCATCTCAATGCAATGTTATCTTGAAAGTAAAGGGTTAATTCTGCAGAGTCAAGAAATTGTTGAAAAAAATAAGATATTGATTAACCATAATCTAATATTTTATAACATTACTAACAACCAATGAGACTTAAATCGTAATAAAAAATATGTATTACCTAATAATTAGCGAAGACCGGGGCATAATTGATTAAGAGTCACATCAGTCAATTTTATTTATTTTAAAACGAAATTTAATCATATAGAAGATATGATATACTGTACACCTCTCGACAGAAAATTTTTATTTCGACTCACTAAAATTTTTTACTCAAAAATGTTCTAATAGCGATAATGTAAAATTTTTTATTAAACTTGTCTGGAGCTATACCCATAAAATTAATTATGACATAAAATATATCAAATATGTGCGAGTTTTATTATGAGATCACCTATTAGTATTTTTTTACATCTTATTTTATCAAAACTGAGGACCATAGTTATGACAAATTAGGGTATGTAGTATATATCAATATAATATTTTATATAAAATTTCACGATATTTTTTTATTTTGATCATAAAATTTTATATTTTTAGTAATTCCCGTTGCTTTTATTAATAAAAGAAATTAATTTATATATTAATTAAATACGCATGATTTAGTCAGCTACCGTTTGAGCGACTGCCGATAAATTTTTTACGAATTCTGATCCACTGAGTTCCGGTCTCACCCTTATTAATGCAATTTAATAAATTATTTTTGATATTAAAAAAATTTAATTTTGGACAAATCTTAGTCTTACCTTATTAAGTATTTTGATCAAATTAATAAAAAAAATCACATTAAAAATATTGAGGGGTGATTTAAATTGAGATTTTGATTAAGCCCATTTTTAATGACCAACCATACATATTGAATAATGGTAATAATAGACATAACCTTTAACGTCAGAAGCGGTGGTGGGGAGGGGGGGAGGACAATGTAGCAACCCTAACCTTATTATTTAAAATTTTACAGAAAATTAAATGATGGCAAAAAGGCTATCCTACTATGACCTTTATTTTATCTCAAAAAAATATAAGGGCTAGATGGCTAAAATTCCGCTCATAAAGTTACATAAACCTTGGTTGTAATAGAGACAAAACAAGGCGACCATGGGCAAACAATTTACTCAAACTGTGCGACTTGTGTAAAATATTTTTAGGAACCAAGCCAGCCCTGAATTTTTTTAAAACAGAATACTTTATGATATTACTTCACAAGAAACTATTTCAGTCTGAACAACTTGTAACAAATTTTTTTAAGGGCTTGAGTTTTTTTTTCATGCTGATCTTATTTGTTCACTCAATTTTGTCAAAATCTAAAGGGGTTAAATTATAATCATGCTTTTTAGACCGATTTAACATGGACCTCAATATCTATATTATACTAAATTTATCAAATAATATATGAACCTTTTTTTTTATTATAATTACATAATATAAAAATCGAATATATACATTATAGTATAATAGTAGATAATATTAATTAAAATTCAATGATTTTTGATTAATTTTCCTAATTTTCTTCTGTTTAGTTTTCAAAACTTTTGAACTTTTTTCCCTAGTGGCAATTGTTTTTTTGCTGAGTTTTGTTTTCAACTTGGGTACAATCTAAGAAAATGAATTAAATAATATCAATATATGAAACATTAACCGTAGTGCTTCTAAGGAATGTTTTATTCAGATTATAGTTTTATATTCTAATCAGAGTTTGGAACCTGGAATAAAGGTTCTAGTTCTAAATCTTTTTAAAAAGGTGGTTTTAATTCTGGTTTCTAACATTTTGAAAAGTGAATTCAGGTTCTGGCTCTTAAATTTGACGTGGTTCAGAAGGTTCCAGGTTTTCTGGCTTCAATAAACAACAAAAAATCTAAAACGAAACACCAAACATTTTAAGCAATATTCTACATAATAAATAAATTATTTTGTTAGAACTGTTTCTGGAAATTTTAATATGAGTTCTGGTTAGTGTTGTTAAACGGCTCGAATTGAACTGTTTAAAAAAGGTTAACTTAATATTTTAGCCAGAAAAATATTGCCCAAGCCTCGAGATTTGCTAATAGATATCCAAACCTTTGTGCCATCTATGAGCAAAATCTTTAGGCTTGCATAATATTTTTCTGATTAAAATAGCCGTTTTTTAAAATTAGCTCAAATGTAGCCGTTTAATAAAACTAATTCTGGTTCCTATAAAATTTGAAAGAGGGTTCCAGATTCTGCTTCCAAATTTGTTCCAGGTCTTGGTTTCAAACTCTGATTCTAATTAAATATATGTTGTTATTCGATAGTTATAATTCATAGTAATAAAAATTTATTTGATTAAGTATTTTTAAAATTTATGTCATGTTTGTATAAATTATCAAAATTCTTATTGCTTTACTATTTTTATGAAATTGACTAGCTTAATTATCTAAACTAAAATTGTAAGTCATAGCTGTAAAATTTTTCAAGTTGATGTAAATATTATTTTAAGTTAATAAAAATTATTCCCCTGCACTCCCTCACCCCTTTCTTAAAAATGAATACAATATGTTATTGTAGTCAACAATTTTAAAAAAAGTGAGCAGGCCATAGTAAGTACAATCTCCCTTTAGCACTATATGAAATAGAGCTTGACTACCTCACTCATCCATCTAATTGGGTTAATTAGGAGTAACCTATAAGAAGAACTATCCACAATTGTTGGGCAGGCTACAGTTACCAGTGCACGCAAGAGGCAAAGTCACTTACTTAAACGCCAATGGGAAGTAAGAAGGAAGAAAAAGACCAATATGAAGGTATTGGCTAATTTTAAATTTAGATTCTGTATAATATAAGTGATTTATTGGATTAAATGAGTTGTTTATGAAATATGATAGGTTAAATATGTTGCTGGATAAATTAATGAAATCTTCGGTAAATAAAATATTATAAGAAATTGTGTATGATTTTTTGTTTAAAATTTCTTATAGTGACCGAATAGTTGTATTCTCTTAAGAGTTGTCGGAGGATGTGTTTCGAGATTCTCGATAGAATGGTATTTAAGAATAATCTGGGGTAAAAGCAGAGTTGTTAAACCATACTTTTAAAAGTAGCGCACCGCTATCACTACCCATCAAAAAAAAGTAGCGCGCTGTTAGCTGCTATTTTTTTAAAAGTATGCCTACTTTTTGGAAAAAAATTTAGAAATAAATTTGTTATTTTTTGCTTATAATTAAATATTTAAATATAGTTAGTTTTGACTATAAAAAATTTATGTAAAAAGACTATAATTTATGTAATAAAAATAACTATTTATGGTAATATTTATTTTTTATTTATTTTGTTGCATTAATAATAAAATCATTTCTATACTATCATTCCCAAGTCTAGAGCGACGATCAGAAAGTATAAGTTTCGCCTAACTAAATAATCTCTCAAATCTTTTTTTTCTCTCTTCTTGATTTCTAATAGCTTTTCCATGTTCTATGGGGTGTATTTCTAAAGAACATTCATAAATAAAAACTAGTAGTTTCAATTTTAATAATTGTTTTCTTATATGGGGTCTAATTTTCTTGTAGGTATTATTAACAGTTGGATACTCTTTTTGTATTTTAAAGTCTATAAATTTTGAGAAGAGTAGACCACCTTTAAAATTTATAAATACCCATTATATATGAGCTCTATCTATTCCTTTATTTTAGATATGATATCAGATCGGTAATCGGCCGATATCAATTTAATATCGGGAATATCGGATCGGCCTCCAAAAAGTGGTAACGGTACACCCCTAATGATTAATGTAAACAAAAATTATAAAAAGACATTATTTCCATTTTTTATAAGAATATTTATGTCGAAACTAAAAATGGTTCTGGACCCGAATTCGGTTTCAGGGATTTTAGACTTACTTTGGAGGAAATTTTGATAAAGAACTTAATAAGCTGGTTCCGGGTTGGCTCAAGCCAGCTCATTAATCAGCTCAAGCCGGCTCAGGAATTAGCTCAAAAGCCGACTTTTGAGCCCAAAATTATTTATTTGTGATTAATGTAAAACGGCTGAGCCAAGTCGGCTTAGTCCTAATCTTAGCCAGTTTTTGAGTCGAAAAATTAATTCACAGGAGTTGGCTAGGCCAGCTCAGGAGTTTGCCTGAGTTCAATTTTTAGCTGAAATTATTTATATAGACATTTTATGAATATAATTATGTAGAATAAGTGCTCTACTGCTAAGTTTTGAGTAAAAAAATGTATTAAGAATCAAGCTCGCTTGAAGGGCAACATGAATGGGCTAGCTGAAGTTGTTTCAGAACTTTGAGGTTGCTCACGTGTTTATTGATTAAAAACTCAACTTTACCTGGTGTTAAATGGCTCGATTTTTAAAAACGGCTAACTTAATATTTTCGCCATAAAATATAACATAAACCTCAAGATTTAGCTAAGAGATGTCGAAATACTTGTATAAAAATCATTTCCATTCAGGGTGGGTCGAGCCTAATATTTTTTTATTTGAGCTATGCATAAATGTTCAAATGTAATATCATTAAAATGATATATTCTAAAATTCTTGAAAGAAGCTTCCGAAAATATTTTTTATTTGTAGAATATTTTTTTTACAATAAAAAAATAATTAATTTTTGTAATAACTTACAATTAAATTCTTATTAAAAGTCTGATTCATTTTAGTGTTTTTAATATTTTCTTAAAATGTATAAGTTATTTTGTATTAAAGAGAAGAAAGAAAGAAATCAGCGAAAGGATTCTGCAACAGGAGGCAATTGATTAAGACATTTTAAAATTATAATTATGTAGAAATAGTGTACCATTGCTATTTTGAGTAAAAAAAATTGATTCAGAATCAAACTAGCTAGATGAGCAACATGAATGGGCTAGCTGAATTTTTTCCAGAACTTTTAGGTCACTCATTTGTTTATTTATAACTACAAGTAAATATATTAAAAACTCTACTATACTCCAGCCCGAGCCTTACTTTTTAAAAATAATTCCTGCTCAGAGTAGTTTTTTAATATATTTACTATCATAAACATGTGAGCAATCTCAAAGTTCTGAAATAACTTCAGCTAGCCCATCATGTTGCCCATTTTAGCTTGATTCTGAATACATTTTTTTACTCAAAACTTGGCAGCAGAAAACTTATTCTACATAATTATATTAAAAATGTCTCAATCACATATAAATAAATTTTGGCTAAAAATTGAACTCAAGCAGCAAACTCCTGAGCTGGCTTGAGCCAATTTCTGAGCCAACCAACTCATATGTCTCAATGAGCTGACTTGAGTCTGAGTCAATTTTTTGACTCAAAAACTGGCTGAGTTTAAGACTAAGCCAACTTGGCTCAACCGTTTAACAACACTAGTCACAAATAAATAAATTTTGGCTCAAAGTAGATTTGAGTAATTCCTGAGCTGGCTTATTAAGTTGATATTATCAAAATTTTCATCAAATTAAGTCTAAACTCTGAAGCTAAACTCAGGTCCAGCCCCATTTTTAGTTTCGACATATATATTCTTATGAAAAATGGAAATAATGCCTTTTTATAATTTTTGTTCACAATAATCAGTAACCAAAAATTTAACAATTTTTTGAGTTAGCCGTTTATAAAAATCGACTTGAATGGAGTCGTTTTACAAAATACATGTAAAAAAACTAAAAAAATTGAGCAGACCCAACAAGTCAACTTGAGTCATTTTTTCAACTAGAAATTAGGCTCGAGTCACAGCTAAGTTGACTCGGCTTAGTTGTTTAACAACACTAGTGCTGTCCATGATGTATGATGTAAGTTAAATTTTTGAAATCATTTCTATAAATTTAAACTTTGGAAAAAAAAAATCAAAAAAGTGTAAAGCTAAAATGAGAGATCTGCAGAAATTAATATTTTAGACCTAGCCTGGATTTGAATTTTTTTGTCCATTTCTTTATAATTTTTAATTTGGTGAATGAAAAAAGGTATGTAATATTCAAGGTTTTTAAATTTTGGTATAATCAAAAAAAAATTTATGTCTATGGCTCTGGCAAACAAATCAAAATTTTGTGTAAAATTTATTAATGAAAATAAAATCTTTTTGGTTAATTTTAAAAATGTACATAAAAAGCTTCATATAAAATAATATTTTATACCATTTCAAAATCATAATTAATTCCAATCTTTTTCAAAATTTCCATCTTTTTATTATGCGTTTTGAAGCTTTTTTTAAAACTACGTTCCAAAGTTTTGAGTGGTTTAGAAGCATTATATTGATTTTTAGATTTAAAAGGTGTTTTAAATGGTTTAAATAATTTGGAGGCACCTTTGAACAATTTGGGATGCATTTCATTATTTGGTCTAAATTCACCTTATATTTAGGTATAAAATAAACAAATATTTTTATTTTACATTTGAGTATCTTGTCAAACATCAAATAGTTATTCATTGTTTCTGCTGCAATCTTTGCAACATTTTCATCATCAAATTCTATAAATCCATAACCCTTTGTTCTTCCTGTCTAAATAAATTATTTGATATGCGTTTTGTGTAAAAGAATACTTTCTTGCTCCTAGACAATTTAACTTTAGTAACTTTTCCAAATTGATCAAAATATTTATTCACTTCATTTTCAAAAAATCCATAAGGCAAATGACCAATATAAACAATTCCTTTTTTATTTTCGCTCTGTATTCCATTCATACTAATTTTGTTATTTTTTCGAAAAAATAAATATTTGATACTAATGATAATGCACGTAGTTTGAAAGTATTAGAAAGATAACTGTCGTTTTCCAAAAATGAGATGATTGAGATTTTATAAAATAATATCTGACAGATTGATAGGCCATGCGATGTAAAGTATTTTACTTGTTAGAATATCAATTATTATTTTTTATATTAATTAAAATTAAATTCTAAGGATGAGTTTAACAAAATATTCAAAAAATGATTAAAGATATTACAAGTCAGAGATGGACTGACCATAAATCCAAAGTGGCATTTTGCCCATGAGACCACGAAAAAATGTCGAATTTTGAGGATGATCATGAAAAAAATGAAAATAGTTTAAACTTGTAAACATAACATATTGCCGGAAAAAAGCACATTCAACATAATTATGAATACAAAAAAGATATAAATTTTTTAAAATATATTTAATAAAGATGAAAACAGCTCTGATAATTAAACTAGTTTATATAGCCCTAGTTAAAGTTTAAATAGAGCCCCACACTAATCAAAATCAACTTGTTTTCGAAATTTATCAATAAATTTAACCCAAGATAACAGGTCAAAATCCTTGGTAGTCCCATCAATGACATATAATAATACTTAGACTGACAATTCATTCATTAAAGTATGTATCAATGCAAATCAGCTGGAGATGCCATTAACGCCATGTTGATTACCTGCATGGTAAAATTTGTAATATAAAAAATATGAAAAACTAAGGCAATGACTTATAAATCAATTATTGAAAAGACATTCTTATGATTATAAATATTCTGGAAACATGAATTTTTTATTATATTAATATTAATAAATCTTATATATTTTGATAAAAATTATATATTATCTAATAAAGTTGCTTTTAGTTATTTGTTTTTATGATACTATATTACAAGGTAATAAAACTGAATCATCAGAAATTTTGAATCATTATTAAATTACAAAAGACTAACTAGCTTAAACATCCAAACTTAAATTATATCTTTAAAGCATTCAAGCAAAATAAATAATTTACATTTTGCAAAGTAAAGGTTAAACCTTTATTAAGAAAAACTCCAAAAGTAATATTATAGCCAAATACAATTTATAAATCTTCACTTCTAGGCATTCTTTCCCAATTATGGAGAAAATTACATATATTATAATTTTCATAGATAGATTAAATGTTTTCTCAATAATATAAAAATTTGTTGTCTTCTAATTTTCATAGATAGATTAAATGTTTTCTCAATAATAAAAACATTGGTGTCTTCTATCTTAAAAATAGTACTTTTATTTTGCATATATAAAATAAATGCTTAGCTTCACATATTACTTAATAATACAATTTATTTGTGCATAAAATACTAGTAGAAAGCCCGTCAAAAATGACGGGGAATGAGATTTTTATTCATTCTTTTACGATAGTCATGCCAGGTCCAAGCTCACAATATTAGGAAGCATCCAAGATCTTATACATATAAAAAAGTTTATCAAGCCCAGCTCAACCCTTAATTATTTGTAAAAGATATTCCCAAGTCAGGTGCAAGCTATTATCAATTTTGAGGTTCCAAGCCCAATCGTATCCAATATAATTTTGAAAATTTTTTCCCACCTCGGAGATAGTTACATTTTTTATTGATTTATCATCACATGAAGGGGAAATTACTGATTTACCAATTAGTCTAAGATGTAAAAAAAATCATGTGAATTCCGTATTAAGGGAAATTGGGAAGGCCTGGGCAAACCACTTATTAGAGAATCAAATAAAATAAAAATAACCGACTCTTATACTTTTTGGTAATATTATCAATTAAAATTATATCTAAAAAATAAATTGTTGTTTATTATATAGGGTTATTGTTGTTTTTCAGATAAATTTAATGTATGTTTTGCATTTGCGAAATTATTTGTCAAAGAATTTGATAAAGGATATATATTTTTATGTTAAGTAAAAAAAAATGCTATCTATTTAAATTACAAAAATGCCATTAAACACTAATGAAACTTATATGCAAATTATTTATATATTTTTTAAGAATTGACATATAAATTTAGGATAATTTTTTTAAAAAATAATGAGGAATAATTATTATTTTGTGTATTTGATAAAATTAAGAGAAAATCCCAGGCGCGTAAGCAGGAATTTGGTCTGGGGGGGGGGGGGGATAATAAATTTTTTTAAGAAATATTATTGTTTTTTTTAAATATCAAGCATAAATTTATTAGGACTAATAACTATTCCTAATGCACAATTTTAAATTAATGTGAATTATAAAAAAATTATATGTAAAGAATCATTTAAAACTCAAAATAGAAATTTGATTTTTTGAACCTTTACACAAAAGGTTTCTTAGGAATAATTGTATTTTGTATGTTATATATTAATGTAAAATCCTTCGTTGGAATTGAGCTAATTTTTCAATTATCTCATCCTTGCTTGTCGTCAAATGCCTATGAATATTCAAAAGATCCAAACTTTTCAATCTACTTTCACATGTTGTACTTCTTGGTATGTTTTTCAGAGACCTGCAGGTCCGGCCCTAGGCCGGACAGTATTTTAATTTTTTTTAATATACCCGGGCCGGGCCCGAAATTTTTTAAAAAAACACCCGGGCCGGACCTGAATTTTTTTAAAAAACACCCAAGCCGAGCCTGAATTATTTTTAAAAAAACACCCAGGCCGGGCTGTATTTTTTAAAACAGCCTATATTTGAAATCGTGATTATTAGCTATAAAAATCAAAAATAAATATAATTTATTTTAAAAAAATCCTGGCCGGTGTAGTATTGTAAAAACAATACTATCTAAATTCAATACGGTATTGATTCTATAATATTGTAAAATCAATACCGTATTGATAATTTATACCGAACCTCAACTTTTAAGAATAAAACCTAAAATTTATGAATGAAATCGGTACATTTAAATTTATAATTATATTTATATTTAGCAATAACAATTAAATATCAAAATAGGAGAATATAAGTAACAGAAAAATATCATTTGCTGCTAATACTTAGTGACAGAAAGTATCCTTCCTTTACTTTAAAATATCACAAATTTTTTAATGATGGTACACTTAAATTTATAATTATAATTTTATATCAAACAAGTATAGATAAATGTCAAAAATAATCTTTATTGCTAATACTTATAACAGGAAAATATTCACAAAATTTTTAATGAATCAAATTGGTACATTTAAATTTATAATTATATTTATATCAATTGCTGCCAATATTCGCTTTAAAATATCACCTAATTTTTAATGAATCAAATTGGTACATTTAATTTATAATTATATTTATATCAAGCAATAACAATTAAATATCAAACAATAAGAGAATATAAGTAACAGAAAAATATCATTTGCTGCTAATACTTAGTGACAGAAAATATCCTTCCTTTACTGCTTTAAAATATCACAATTTTTTAATGATCAAATTGGTACATTTAAATTTATAATTATAATTTTATATCAAGCAGGAACAGATAAATATCAAAAATATCCTTTATTGCTTATACTTATAACAGGAAAATATTCTACTGCTCACAAAATTTTTAATGAATCAAATTGGTACACAGTGGCGTAGCCAGGATTGATCCATGGGGGGGGGGGGGGGGTTTAAAAATTTTTTTGAGGGCTTCGCCCCCAAACCCCCTTATCAAAATTTGCCAATATTTTGTGTATTATACCCAGGCCAGCATAAATATTAAAAAATATTAGAATTAAAATTTTTGCCAAATTTATAATTAATAAGCGACTGAAAGCATTATTTTGAAAATGTTATCAATGTTTAGTAAATTGTATATTAATTCAATCTATTCGATGTGAAAAAAATTTGCCTCCCCCCAAACCTTCCAATTTTATGATCAACTCAATATATCTTATTCTATGTTAAAAATAATTATTTTTATTAAATTTTTGCATATAACAATATTTTGCAGAGATTTTATTTATTATTAACTTTATTTATTTAACTATGTATTTATTTTAATAATATATAAAAAAATAAATTTCAAAATATATAAATTTTATACAGATTATTATATTAAAAATTGAATGTAAATAACTATATTTTAAAAAAATAAAATTGCAATAAAATATGTAATTCTTGCTAAAAAAATACAATTTAACAATTTTATTTAGTATAAACCCTTTATTTAACTATGTGTTTATTTTATATACAAAAAATAAATTTCAAAATTAGAAATTTTATACAGATTACTATTTTAAAAATTGATTGTAAATATCTATATTTTAAAAAAATAAAATTACAATAAAATATAAGTAATTCTTGTATGCAATTTAAAAAAATATAATTTAACAGTTATATTTAATACAAATGAGTATATTATATAAATAATTCTTATTGTAGGTGCAATAATATTATTAAATATAGTATATAAATATCATGACTAAAAATTCATTATAATTAAGTTTTACGTATAAAAATTTTATGACTAAGAAAATATTACAATTATATGATTTGAATTTATAAAGAGAAGTCTATTTTTCTCTGAGATTTGGCTAATTTATCTAGAATCAAATTTTTATCTAGAATAATCTCCTTATAAATATTTAATAGGGCTAATCCATTTAAACGGTTTTCACTGGTGCTATTTCTTAAATAGGTTTTTAATCTTTTCAAAGTTGAAAAAGACCTTTCATTAGTGCAGGTACTAATCGGTAAAGTAGCTAAAATAAAAAACAATGTTTTGATATTGGGCAGGGAATCTAAAGTGCAATTACACATGGAAAGGGCCTGCAAAGCATTTTTTGGTCTCAAAGAGTACTCTATTCTGCCAAGATTTTTATACCAAAATTCGACATCACAAAGTAACTTATCATACGACCCTAATAAATCATCAGAATAAAACTTTGAGATGTTCTTAATATCCTCTCGCGTTTCAAGTGTAATCAACAATTTAGACTCAACCGGCAAAAGAAAATAAAAGCTTTTTAAAATAAAATTGTGACTTATAAATCTTTCCTTTAATTGAAATAAAAATGTATCAATAAGTGGAATAAAAATGTTAATTTTATAAAAATCCTCAATCGTAGATGCATCAATATTTGAGTGA